GCCCTGGACTGCACCAAGAACGGGCGGCCGGTCTCCCTGCTGTGCGCGGACTACAAGATTCTGGCCAAAGCACTGGCCACCCGCCTCCGCACTGTCATGGCCTCCATCACCGGGCCTGAGCAGAGCTACTGCGTGCCGGGCAGAACCATCCAAGACAACCTGTTTCTGCTGCGTGACCTGGTTACAGCCAGTGAACTCTTTGGCCTAGACATTGGCCTCATCTCTTTGGATCAGGAGAAAGCCTTTGACCGGGTGGACCACGCCTACCTCTTTCAGACCCTGGAGGCCTTTGGCTTTGGGCCTCTTTTCACCGGGGCCTTCCGGGTCTTATATCAAGACACTTCCAGTCTGCTTAAGGTGAATGGAATGCTCTGTGCCCCGTTCCCCGCACGCAGAGGCATCCGTCAGGGTTGCCCCCTGTCAGGCATGCTTTATGCCCTGGCCATTGAGCCAGTGCTGCATGCGCTGCAGTGCCTCCTGGGTGGTGTGGCTTTGCCACTGGCCATGGGCCTGTCCATTGGCCCTCCGCTCTGGCTATCAGCATATGCAGACGGCATGACCATCTTCCTTAACACCCAGGAAGATGTGGAGTCCCTGACAGCCTGCCAGTGAGCCTATGAACGTGCCTCTTCGGCCCGAATCAACTGGGCCAAGAGTGGTACCCTGTTGCTTCGTGCGTGGGTCACCATGACTCTCCCAGATTTGCCAGGGAGCCTTGCCTGGCGTCGTGAGGGCCTCAAGGTCCTGGGCATGATCCTAGGGCCATCGACATTCATGGCGTGCAACTGGGACGGCCTCGAGGAAGGAGTGGAGGCCTGCCTACAAAGGTGGCGCTGGCGCCTACCCAGCCTCTCCTATCGTGGACGTGTCCTCATCGCGAACAACCTAGCGGCGGCGACCTTGTGGCACCCCTGCACCGTACTCGATCTGCCACAGGACCTACCCGAGAGATTCCAGTGCCTCCTGGTCATTTTTTTCTGGGATGGGCGCCACTGGCTCCCACGAGCTGTCCTTTACCTCCCTGTAGCTGAGGGGGGCCAGAGTCTGGTTGACCTTGCGAGCAAGGTAGTCGCCTTCCTGCCTGCAGGCCCTTCAACGGCTCCTGTACAGCGAGGAGCACCTACCTTGGCAACAAGTGGCGTGCCGGTTTCTGCAGAGGGTGGGGGCCCTCGGCTTTGACCGGGAGCTCTTTCTGTTGGACCTCACGCTTTTGAACTGGGCGGTGCTTCTGGCTTTCTACCGTGTTATGGTATGAGCCTGGCAAGCCACTTTCCGCCTCCAGCCCCAGGCCCCGGCACCTGCATTTCCCACATTTGCTGAGGGAACCCCTGGTGCACAACGCAGTTCTGAGGGGCCCTGTGCCGAGCCTGGCCTCTGTCAGTCTCACGGCCGTTCTCATCCAGGTGCGCGTCCTCCGCCTGAGCCATCTCCTTGACCCCGCTTGGTCAGTCTGCCTCTTGCCTGAGGCCTTGACCACCCGGCTGGGCATGCGCTCCGTCTGCAGCGTGGGCCATCTCCTGTGTGACATCTGGGCTGCCCTCCCAGCGGAGGCAGCAGCCACCCTGGACGATCATCTCTGGGTGGGCCAATTCCCCTGTGCTGCAGATGTCCCGAGTGAGGCTTTTCCTGCATTACCAGTCGCCCCGGCCATGGCCAGCGAGCTGGCCGGTGGCCCTGGCACCCTGCTGATGCTCCCCGTGCCTCTTGACAGTGACACGGGTTGCCCTTTTGCTTTCCTGTCACGTAGAAGCCTATATGCCTGGGTGGTTCATGTCCGCCATGCCCAAGTGCTGGCAGGCTGCCCCAATACACCGTGGCGATGGTGCCTGGGGCCGCCAGATTCCCCACCAGCCCACCCGGCATGGCGCATGTTGTATAAGCCGCCAACCGCCAAGAAGACTGGCGACCTGAAGTGGTGGTTGCTGCATGGCATCCTCGCCACTGGCATGTTTGCCTCAGAGACCACCTACGTGTGCTCCTACCCATACCGGGCGGCTGAGAAGGGCCCCGTCTGCCTGGCCAACTTTTACTGGGTTAGGCCAAGATGGCCGTCCTCAAGAGCCGCCGAAACCGGTTTGCTGGGACTGGCTCAGGTGACGCCTGCGGCTTTTCCGCTTCCTGGTGCAGGTGCGCCTCTCACTGGAGTTTGAGTATGCTGTGCTCCGGTGGGCGGTGCCCTCCTTTGAGACACGCTGGGCCCTTGAGGGAGCGCTGTGCCATGTGGAGGACAGCCATCTCAAATACGCGCTCTGATGTCATGACTGGTCTGGGCGACTGGGCTGGCTCGGTGTCGGACTATGACTTCCAGCTTGTGCTGCGTCCTGGGCCCTCACCAGGCTGCTTTTTTGCTTTCTTTTTGTATGGGAAGTTGAAGGTGTTGTCACGTGTATGATTGGATAGAGTAGGGTACAAATTGTTTATTTATAGTTATGACCGTGTGGCCAGCACTCTGACCACATAACTAGCGTGTAAGACACGATGTGGAATGAAGTAAAGGTGTCTGTCACGGTGCGATGTGATGAATGCAATGACACGGTGCTGTTGGTTTGATAGTAATTTGTTTGGGTTTTTTTGCTTTGTAAGCAGCCAACCTTTTTGTATCCCTGAACCCCTGAATAAAGTAGTCAAAAGTCAAAGTCCGTCCGTCCGTCCCTTGAACTTCAGTTTTGTTTTTGCTTTCACTTGCAGTCTGAGCTGAAATAAGAATTTTAGTTTTGGTTTTGATTTGACCTGCATAGCCAATTAGGTGAATTCATAACTTAATTTTTGTTTTGGATTATTATTTGAGTGTTTACCCTTCTGTTTACAAATCAAGAAAAAATATATGTAGTCTCTCTCACACTTCCTAAGAATAATCGCCTTGAAAACATGAATTACAACTTTGAAACTGCCAAGCTTGCTTAATATTGTATTGGCATCCATTCATTGCTGCTAATGAATTTTATAAAACAATGGATTTTTAGGAATGGAAAATTTCCCACAGAAAAATACAGCACTGGAAAATTCTCTGGTATGAGCTTTTGTGTCTCTATCCCCCGGTGAACTTAGTTTAAAGCCCTCTTCCCTAGGTTGGCAAGCCTGTATGCAAAGACACTCGTCCCTCTCTTTGTCAGGTGGACCTCAACTCTTCCGAGTAGTTCTTGGAATGCTAACACGGTCAAAGAAACGAAAGCCATGCTGGTGATGTATTTAGTCACATGTTGATCTTCAGGATGTGTCTGTTCCTAGCCATGCCTCTACCCTTGACTGAAAGAATCAATGTTTCCTCCACCTTTGTGCCCATAGCCATGTAGTCAGTCTTGATCTGCTGAATGCCACCCCTGGCAGTGTTGTCAGTGCCCACATGGATGGGTAACATGGGATAATAGAGGGCTGGGTGAGTCTCAGCTATCATGCTTGGCTGTGGGTTCTTGGCAGGTAGCACATGTCCCAAGCTAACATTTTGGGCAGCAGGATGGATGCTTCTGTGACCTGCGGGAGGGAGTCACCAACCACTACCACCCATTGTTTCCCCTTGGCAGCACTGGTCCCCTCTCCCTTTTCCTTCTCCTCCTTCTCAGTGGTGCGTGGCTTGCCTTCTTTTCCCATTGGAGTAGGCTTCTTCTCTGATGCTGGAGCTTCATACCTATTCTCCAGTAAGATGGAGCAGGTCTGGAAGAGGAGTGCTATCTTTTGTTAGAGGTCACAAGCTGCCAGTTTCCACCTTCTTGAGTATCTTACCCTAGCATCTGTGTCTTTTAATGCCTTCCCTGGCTGTCCCTCTTCCATGATGTGGGAGGTCTCTGTGCATTGAGTCTATGAAGACCTCATGTTTGCGGATGCTTCTGAGTCTATCTACTTTCTCCTGCAGATCCCTTAAATAACTCCTGAGAATCTACCAGGAGGCACCTCTTTATACTGCAAGCACTACCCTACCTGGCTATCTTTGAGGACTTGCAGGCCACAGTCCTTCAGACCAGCCAGACCAGAACCTGGGTGGAAGCCTCAGTGGCTAGGGCCCACACCTGGACTGAGCCCGCACAGGTGTGGTTAGAGAGGGAACTGGCAGTGGCAGAAACTCTGCAATTGTAACATCTAGCCATCCTGTTGGTTTTCTTGCTAGTTCCTTCGTTTTCTATTATCATGGCTTGCGTTATACATGAAGTCCTGCAAGATGTTCCTAGAAGTCCTTCCTGGCCATGGTGTACGTAAACCTTTGAACATATCAGTACTTTGCAGTGGTGTGAATGCAGATATTTCTGTTCAGAGGTCAAGTCTGTTACCATAGTCCCTGTTGTATAATTGTATCCAGTGGTACCATAACATTGTCTTGGTAGCTTTTTTTTTTAGATCGTTTTAACTAAGTTCTACATCCCTTAACTAACATCTCCGTCTACTTTTATAATAGTAAAATAACAATATATGGGGAAAATTGTGTATGAATGTTGTGGTCCCAGTCCCATTGAGAAGACAGCTCAACTATTTTATATTTTTGATAGTGTCAGAAAACCGTTACAGATATGCATAGCCTTGTATTATTACAGCCACCTTAGAGTATAGGAAACATCTCATTTTATTCTTAAACTGAATCCTATTTTTGAATAGGTATCCTGCCCACATTGAAGAAATTGATTACGAGGAAGGAAAAGTGCTTATTCACTTCAAACGCTGGAACCACAGATACGATGAATGGTTTTGTTGGGACAGTCCTTACCTTCGTCCCTTAGAGAAAATACAGCTAAGAAAAGAGGGGTTACAGGAGGACGAAGGTTGTACTGTAAGTAGAAATAGTGTTATAAGCAAATTGTTATTCAGCTAGTTAATTTCTGCTTCCCTTTAAATCCCTTAAGGACCCTGAATGCAACATGTACATTGGTCCTGTTTGAATTGGTGAGTGTTATGACTGAGTGCTGAGAATGAGCTGGGTGTGTTACAGACAGCGGAAGGAACAGTCCCTACCTGAAGCAGCTTACAGTATAAATAGAATGGCTTTAATTTTTCTTATTTCCATTGTTCTAACCACTGTAGTAAAATTTAAAATATCCTTATGAGCCACTGCTACTGTCTTACTATAGGGTATTGATTTTGCTTTTCTACATTTAACAAGGAAACAGTTCCAGTCTTTTTGTGAATAAGTTTACTTGAAAACTCGGTATGTTTATTTTTCTAGTTCAGGTAGTACAGATTATTAATATTTGTTTTCTAAATACTTGTTTTTGTAGGGATTTCATATAAATGATCAGGTATTGGCTTGCTGGTCTGATTGTCGTTTTTATCCAGCCAAAGTCACTTCTGTTAACAAAGATGGTAAGGCATTACTTTTGATTTGCTGTATTTAATAGTAAGGCAACTTTAATTATGTTCAATACTTTATAATGCTCCCAGGATTATGTAGCCATTACACTGTAGCATGCTATTCCTATGAACTGGTAGCTCTGTAAATTTTTGTTAAATGTTGTTGGTACATAAAGTGGTTATGTGTGCTTTTTAATGACTGTATCATGAATGAACACATCACCCAACTTAAAAAAAAAAAGGATAGAGATGAATTTCTTATTAATTACAATAATTTTTCCATTATAGCAAAGAGTTAAATCCATTCCCTAAGATTTGCATGAATATTTTTTGGCACTTTGACAATCTTTACAGAGTAAAGAATGAAATAACCATACAGGTTGCTGAATTGAACAAATACTACTTTTTTCCATGAAGTAAGTAAATCAGACCACTACATTTTCTCTTGATATACAAATCACTTTTCCATCAAAAGTTCCACTATGTTCTTGATGAACACTTTAGACTTACAGTCTCTATAAGAGTGAAAGGATGCATATATGTAATTGAAATGTGTAATAATTTTAAGAGTCTGCTAAAATAAAGGGCATTGTACTTTTATGCAGAACACAATGTCCTGGCGACAAAAAATCAAATTAATTGTGTACAATACATTTAGTAGGACTTTTAGAATGAAATTTGACGAGATACTGGACAAAGAAAATTGAAATACTCTCCCTAGGAAAGTAATACATATTTTAGGTCTGATAACTTTGTTATAGATACCAGTAAGAGGTTATTCAGAAAGTAGGGCAGAGTGGCACCTTAGAGACTAACTGGTTCAGAGGAGCGTGAACTCATGCTTATTTGAATTGGCTTCTAAGATACTACCCTTCCCTATCTTCTATCTGACTTACCATGGTTAACCACCTCAATAAGAGGAGGTGATATGGAGGTTTCAGAATTATTTTTAATGTCACTAAGATATCTAAGAAAAGTGTATAAATAACCTGCTTATATGGATTTGCTTCAAAACTTGGCTATAGAGTTGGGTATCCATTGTTAATAGATTAGATTTTCATGTAGAATTGTACAGAACTTGTGTAAAATTTTTAAAGGCAGTTGTTATTTTTTGACATCGCCTGATTTAAGATATCTATTTACAGCATCCTAAATTTTAAATTGTTATTTGCTGCCAGGATTTATCGTCAATAGCAGGGTAAGATCCAGGTTGTGGGACTCCCTAGAGGCTGGATCCAGGCCTGGCAAGGGCAAACAGTGTGAAGGAGCTACATGTAGAATTTAATGAAGCTGTTGCTTGCCCTGCCACTAGCATGTGTCCCCAGTGGGGCTCTGTACCCTGGATTTTAGTTGTGAATCCTGTCCCTGCTTGCCTTGCTCCTAAATTTTTAGCCTCCCCTTATGAGCCCTGTGGACCTGGTGATATGGCACTTGCAGGCTGGATCTAGCTTGCAGGCTATAGGTTTGACACCCGTGTTCTGTAGGAATATTTTCACAAATTGAGATCTACATTATTTTACCAAAATAATATCTTAGCGTATGGACAGGCATTACATTTGTGCTGTAAGAAACTTCTTTCTCCCAGCACAAAAAGCTACTGTACAGGTTTTCAGTGGGTTTTCACAGTAGAACAACTTTTCTTTCTGAAAAAAAAAGAGGTGGAGAGCACTTTTAATTAGGCAGTTATCTCTCCTAGGAAGTTTTCTAGCACTTCTCTTTTGTGTCCTGAGGGATCTTCAGTACTCCAGAGTCCTTTGCTTTCCCTTCCCCCTACCTCAAATAGGAGGGAGAGTGGTGGCTCTCTGATAGCCTACCCAGTGGTAAGCTTTCACGGAGCCCTGCAGAGACCCTGTTGCCACTCCTTGAACAGTGCCCAAATGGTTTAAGTGGTGACAATGATTTCTGCCACCACTTGAACAGCTCTACCCCCACCCTGGTCTATGCAAAAGATTAGGGAGCATCCCTGCAAATCAACCCATCTTTGAGTGTCTGATAACGGGTACCAGCGCAACCTGTAGATGAAAGGGCTGATGTATTGAGCCACATAAGAATGCCTCCTCTGTCTTGCACAACTCCCGGGTGATCCCAGGCTGAGGGAATTCCCCATGGGTTGAACAGTTCTGGGGAGCCCTGGGACAGGTTGAGGTGTGGCACTTCTGCCTTCTGCCCATAGGATCATAGGAAAATAGGGCTAAAAGAGACCTCACAAGGTCATCTAGTCTAGCCCCCTGCTCAAGTCAGGATCATTCCTGACTTAAATCATCCTAAAAAAGTGTCTACCCTAACCTGTTTTTGAAAATTTCCAAGAATGGAGATTCCACAGTTTCTTTAGGGCAACCTGTTCCAATATTTACCACATTCATAGTCAGAAAGTTCCTCCTAATCTCCAACCTAAATTTCCTCTGCTGCACTTTGAGGCCATAGCTCTTAGTCCTGTACCTTACAACCACAGAGAAAAGCCCATCTCCATCATCTCTGTAATCACCCTTCAGGTATTTGAAGACTTATCCCCCCTCAATCCCTCCTTAGTCTTCTCCAGACTAAACAGTCCTAGTTCATTCAGCTGTTCCTCAAAAGTTTTTGCCTCCCAGGCCCCTAAACATTCTTGTTTTGCACTGAACTTTCCCAACTGTCCACCTGCTTCTTGAAAGGTAGGACCCAAAACTGGATACAGTACTCTAGTGAGGCCTCACCAGTACTGAATAGAGCAAATCTGCGTTACCTTGGAGCTGTGCAAATGTTAAGCATTTCCCTGTGGCTCAGTCCATTCTCTGTATTCTCAGGGTGGGTCGAACCCCTCCTCCTGGTGAACATATAGCCCCAGTTACTACTTTCGTACTGGTCATGGTACCAGGGAGCAGCTTAGTTTGTTAGCGCAGCCCTAGTTTGCCTGCAGAGGGGTGTGGGGGCAGGGAGAGGCAGGCAAACCCCCCACATGCCTGCCTCTCTCCCAATCCCAGGCAGTGGGGGGTTTGCCTCTCCCTTGCCCTCACTTCTAGCTGATGCCTTCATGATATCAGTTGGAGACATCCTCTCTGGCATGGGAGCAAAGGAGCAGCTCCCTATCACCTCCTGGCTGGGAGAGCTCACCTTTGAGGTGATTGTTGCACTCCAGCCATAGGGTCGGAATGCCTGCGTGTTGTCCCTTCTCTCACCATGCTTCCAAGAGCTGCACGTTTCCCTAGCAAGGTTATTGACATATGAACAATTGACAGTACACTACAAAGGAGGGGGAAGGAATGGGATTTTTACCTTAGGTCAACTGCTACATGATAACTGCCTGTATGCAAGTGCTGGCTCTTGCTCTCATGGTAATTGGAAGAGGTCAGTGTAGCTTCCATTTTGAAGGTTAAACTGCCATGGTTTAGATTTACATAGGCAGTTACCATGGAACAGCTTATGAGATAAAACCCTCATCCCTTTTATAATATTTTAAGTTGATTACACATTCATATTCTTAACAAAATTTATCTGCTGAAAAATCTTGAAAATGCATTTCATTATTGCAGCTCACATATAGAAACCAATTTTTATTTCATGGCATTATGACTCTATGGCTTGAGTGGGGCTAGCTGTTTGAGTTGGGAAAGAGTTGGCTGTGTTCCTTTTTTATGATGCTGATATCTCTTAGATCTTTTGGCCCCCAAAGTTAAAATTTTTAACTTTTCATTTTCAGGATAAATAGTGGAATACAAGATATTTTTAAATATATTCATATAAGGATCTATTAGTGCTTTCTTCCTGATTATTTTTCATATTAAATGCATTCCTCCATGTTTATTTCATTATAGAGGACCTCTAGAGCTTAGAGATGTAATATTGCTAATCCTCAAAGCTTGGATTTTTATTTAGGGGCAAATATACCTTGTTGTTTTAGGAGTGTTTGATAACTGTTTCTTGCTTATTCTTTGAATAATTTCCAAAATGTAAATGAAATTAAACTGCTCATCAAAATGTGTTCTCAAATCTTAGGTACATACACTGTAAAATTTTACGATGGAGTAGTTCAGACTGTCAAAAATATTCACGTCAAAGCTTTTTCCAAAGATCAGGTGAGAATATTTTTTTCTAGTTTAATTATAAAATACTAGAAATATCTTACAGGTTAGTTAATTTATTTGAGTTTATTTCAATTAAAATGCAAGCAACTGTTTAACTGCTTTAGTACTAATATCAAGTGTCTGAGACAAATCTATTAAATAGAAGAAGGCAGTGAAAATCTTAAAGATATGATTAAGATAGTCTTGGACCTTTCTGTTCTCACAAATACAGATCTTAAATCAAATGTGCCATAGGTATCTAGGGTTAAAGTTGTTTTCCTAAGTAGATGGAAGATTCAGACATTACACATTCTGAGATTATAGTTTGCTCTTTCGGGTTTTTTTGGTGAACACAGCTAAGGTGTCTTATCTATTATAAGAATAATACATTAATAAAAACAAAAATGCCAAATGGCATGTGCAAGTTATTTAAAGAAAGGAGGGGGGATCTGGTTGAACAAGGAGGAACCCCCCCCTCCCTCCCCCGTATTTTGTATTTACCGTTATTACTTGAATAGAAGAGGACCCTGATTATAAGATGACCCCTCAATAATTAGATTCTATATATGGAAAATTTATAATTTTTTGTATAATTTTCTTGTTAATATCATCTTAAGTATTGGAGGTTTACCTTTGTATTTTTCCTGCTGCTACAGCAAGGAAAATAAGTCCAGGGGTTAGGTAGCCCTTTGCTCTGTGCTTCCCCCCAACCTTTTCCCCTTGCAGCCTCTTCTCCCCCTCCCCCCGCTTACTTCTTTCAGACCCTGCTGTCCCTGAGCACATGGAAGTAATGAGCAAATTTGAAAAAAATAACCTTGAAATTAAACATGGATGTAGCAATTTGCATATAGTATCCATATACTTAGTTCATCCAGAATTGACTCATGTTGTTTTTTTGAAACTGCTGCAAGTTTTAGCACAGGAGCTTCACAAACACACTTCTGAACAGCACATTGGCACCTGCTTATATCTAGTATAAACTATGTATGGTATTAGTTCAAAACCAAAAGACTCATGATTTACCGCATAGTTCCCTGGGCTGGCGCCCACCAGTCAACAGCATTTCAAACTATGGTGAGCCATGACATTTCATACAGTTTACCCAGAATCCATATGTTGCACCATCTCTCAACCTGATGAATATGGTTAGTGGGGCCCTGCCCTTTATGGTGACTTCACAGCTCGGTATTGCTCAGTATGTGTGAATACTCCAACTATACCCCTCTCTACAAAAACATCCATGTGCTAATTAGCCCCCACTCATGACTGAAACCAGACACTCTTGTCACAAGTCCTTGGATGCTCCAGAAAATGTGCAAATGAGACGCAGGGCTGCCTCATTTGGCTTCATCTCTGGAGGGTGGGGCCACACTAATCATATGTGCTAGGATGAGAGAGGGCGCAACAGAGGGATTTTGAGTAAACAGTATGAAATATTGTGGCTCACCATGACTTGAAAAGAGTTGGTTGTGAGAGGGATTGCACTTAATGGGCACTAGCATATATTTTATTCAGATGGGTTGCACTGGCCTATTCCTGTAGTAGGTTCTTATCAATTTGTTGTGGAACAAGATAATGTTGTTATTGTAAACTGTTAAGATATGAGGAGGAGTTGATATATTATGGGGTTTTGTTGGATGATGCAGTGTTGATATTTGTAAATATGTATAAGAGGTTTTGGATTTTTAAATAAAATGTTTCATAGATTTTATAGACATTAGGGGCTGGAAGGGACCTCGCAAGATCATTGAGTCCAGCCCCCCCTGCCATAGGCAGGAAGTTTGCTGTGGTTAAATGATCCTAGCAAGATATGCATCCAAATGCCTTTTGAATGAGTCCAGAGTAGGTGCTTGCATCACCTCTGGGAGGTAGTCTGTTCCAGACTCTGGACACTCGGGCTGTAAAGAAGCTTTTTCTTATGTCCTAGTTATCCCTTGGGGAGCCCTGGTGAACAGCTGTTCTCCCAGATCCTGGTGCACCCCCATTATATGCTTATAGGCTGCCATCAAGTCACCCCTGAGCCTTCTCCAGGCTGAAGAGTCCCACATCCCTCAGCCTCTCCTCTTAAGGCTTGCTCTCTTCGCCTTTGATCTTGCAAGTGGCTCTCCTGGACTCTCTCAAGCTTATCCACGCCCCTCCTGAAGTAAGGGGCCCAAAACTGGATGCAGTACTCTGGCTGCGGCCTCACCAAGGCCAAGTAGAGCCGGAGGATGACGTTCCTGGTTTTGCTTGAGATGCATATGTGGATGCATGCCAGAGTTTGATTTGGTTTGCCAGCTACGGCATCGCTTTGGTGCCTCATGTTCATCTTGTGGTCAATCAAGACCCGCAAGTCTCTTTCAGTTATGGTGCTAGCGAGTGTAGCCAGTGTGACTGCTTTCCCCCATAGTTTAGTGTCGTCGGTGAACTTTGCCAATCTGCATCTGATGCCTGAATCCAGATTGTTTATGAAGATGTTGAAGAGTACTGGCCCAAGTATTGAGCCCTGAGGGACACCACTGGTCGCTTTGCGCCAAGTTTATTTGCTCCCATCAACTAATACTCTTTTGGTCCAACCCCGGATCCAGTTCCCCAGCCATCGGGCTGTGAGATGGTCAAGGCCGCAGTTCTCCAGCTTAGCCATGAGGACATCATAGACCAAGTCAAAGGCCTTCTTGAAATCTAGATACATGACATCAACCTTGTCTCCCTTGTCCAGGCAGTGTGTCACCTGGTCATAGAAGGAGACAAGGTAGGTCAGGCAGGACCTTCCAGCAACAAAGCCATGTTGGTTGGCACTCAGAAAGTTGCCTTCCATTAGCCTGCTGCTGATGGGATCCTTGATAATTTTCTTCAGGATCTTTCCAGGGATGGATGTCAGACTGATTGGTCTGTAGTTCCCTGGGTCTTTCTTCCTTTTTTGGAGATTGGGACTACATTAGCTCTTTGCCAATCCTCCACTACCTCTCCTGAGTGCCGCGAGTTCTCAGATATCTTTGCCATAGGGCTTGCTATGATGTTTAGGAGATTGGCCTTTTCCTGAGCGTCAGATGTTGGCTGCCCCTTTTGATTTAGCAGGGGTCCAGCGTTGCCTTTGTTTTTCCTCCGATTTCCCACATATCTGAAGAAAGACTTTTTGTTGTGCGTGATTCCTGTGGCTAGCCTGAGTTCAGTTTCTGCCTTGGCTTTTCTGGTCCACTCTACAGGCATGGGCTAGTTCTGTGTAGTCCTCCTTCTGTTGAGTTTAATAAAAAAATAAAATAAAAAGGTTCTTATTAATTTTGTGGCCATGGGGGACTGCTTTCGCGCTTTTGCCCTAGTTGCTTCTCGGCCTTTTGGCTAGGAGCAAGCAAGGTTAGGGGGCATCTGAACTCCAAGGTTTCTGGGCATGTAGGATGCTACCCAAAAGTAAAAAGGTTTTCACCAATATGTTTGTCCAATGTGGGCCATGTGTTTTATAGTCATGTTCAATGTTGGCTGCATTTAATCAGTTTCATAGTTGGTTTCCATTGCTGAGCACATGCAGCAGCCATTTAATAATAGTGTACCTAGTGAGATTTTCTTGTATTCAGTTATAGGGTTGAGGGGCTTTTTTCCCCATGCCAACTGGGGGGGAAACCTTGCCTTGTATTCGAGACCACGCACAACCCCCAACACCCCTCACCTCTAACTTTCTTCCAAAATTATGCTATGCTTCTTCAGTGAAGAAGCCACATGCCAGCCTCACTAAGGGAGGAGGCAGAGTTCACCCTTCAGGGTCAGAACTAATGTTAACCATTTCTGAGCCACTGTTGTATTGTTAGTAGCTTTTGGCTGAGCTGCTAACTGTTTCTACAAATTAGCCAGTGGCTGTGAGAGAGTTAATACTTCAGCTTTTTCCTGAGCAGCCTGGGTCTGTATTCAGCCATGCTATCAGGATCCTCTGCAGTTAGAATTCAGTCATGGCTCTAGAGAAACCTTTTTTCCTTCATTCTGCATTATCAAACCAAGGTGTGGGTCTTATTTGGGGCTGAGTGGTATGTGAGAACATTTGGTGTTTTCTTTGGATGACTATCTCTACTGTCAGATTTTCAAAGTGGGACCCCTCCAAGGAGGAGGCTTGAGAGACCTTCAGCAGGGTGTCCCAGTGTTTGTTTCATAGCTTCATGAAATGTATTTATTGCCTTCTAACCACACTCTGGTTTCATGGATAAGGCACTTTACAGCTCTTCTGCGCCTGCCTGTACAATTACCTTATTCTTCAGTTACTGTTAGGAAGAACTGAACTGCTTTGAAAGACTTTATGTTCCACTTAAATGGGTCATTCAAATAAAAAAGAAGCATCTCTTCCCCCCCTTTATTATTTGCATTGTCATTTGTGAATGATAGCTTCAGCATGTTTAGAATAGGCTGATGATAAAGCATTTGAAGAATAATTTTAATTATCTCAAATCATTTAAATCTTTATGAGTTTTACTTCAGGAATTGGTTTGAGTTTGTATAATTCTTTTTTGTGTTATCACATGTTTTTAATTGCTCTAATGCAGTTCTTTCAGGCCTTCAGTCCTAGGTCAGGAATGAGTTAAAAAAAATCTTAATGGACATGATTAGATCAGGTGAACTTGACATTAATTGACATAATTAATATAGTCTCTGTCTACTTTTGGGTTCACTGAAAATTCTTTCATTAGGTTACATTCTTATAAGAGCAATGCTTGACATTAGGTAAGGACCAAAAAGCAATGATTCTAAAATCTTACCTTGGGCTTCTCTTGAATTTTCTCTTGTGTTGGTAGATTTGAAATTGTAAAATGTGAAAGTATATTTATAGTAGTAACAGGTACCCAGTTACCTGTGTTTGTTTATCTTGTCCTTTTTGAGAGGCCTCAGATTTTGTTTAAATTTAGTGAAGGGTTGGGGGTTTTTTGGCAGGTGCGGGTTGTTTTGTTTTGTTTTTTAAGGTCTGAATATGTTTGCTGAGTTGGGAGCCCATGTGATTATAAAGTCTGGAGTTGAGTCTTTACGAGACTCGCATAGACTTCATGTTGAGTTGTTTGTTATGGAAAGTCTTTTCACACCCCACCTTCCCCCCCACTCCACCACAGTAGCTTTGTTACATCAGTAAGAGTTATGGATTTCTAGGGCAGAACCAGAACCTCATCATACATTCAAGATACATCCATGCTTGGTTTGCATTTTTACATGTTGTGTCCAGCAGCTCATACTGCACTAAGGTTGTGACTTTTTTCTTCATATCAGTGGCATCTGTTAGTGATAAAGACTATTATCCCACGTCTTTGCTGTGCAGCGGAGGATGTATAATGGCTTCTGCTACAGATACGACTAGGAAAAGAAAAGCACTCAATCTCAGGTCTTGCAGGGTTAGCTTACTGTGGTACATGTTGGGTAGTTTCCTGCCTCCCAGACAAGCCCTTTTTTTTGGTGAAGACACTATTTTTCTAACAAAGTATGCCCATGGCTTTGTTAAGAAGTGTGTGTTATTCTAGTAGCATTCAAACTGCATTAGATAGCATATTTAGACACAGTAATCTAGAAGAAGGTTGTATCCGAAAGTCTGGATAACTGTTTTATGGAAGAATATGACAGCCTTTATAAATGCCTGTACTTGAAACTTGGAAGGCTACTACATGAAGGTCAGCTTCATACTATTCAGTACCAGGATATATTTGTATGACAGGTAACCTTATCCAGTAAAAATTTAAACACACACACCACAGTAGGATTTTAGCAGAAGGTTGTTTTTTAGTGCTTCTAACTTAACACATGGGTTACATTAGCATGATGGGTGTTGTTGTGTTTGGGTTTTTTCTACACCCGTTTTAAAACGAGAGAGAATTAATTTCAAAGTTGCAAAGAATCATGAACTTTTTTCTTACTATTTTCTTTGTTCTAGAATATTGTTGGTAATGCTAGGCCTAAAGAAAGAGGTAATGAAATCACTTCATCTCCTGAAAAACGGGAGAAATTTAAAGTACAAAGGAAAGCAGTTGAGAACGCTAAGGAGGACAAGGATGAAAAGACATTAAAGACTGAAAAACGATGTAGACATTCTGATAAAGAAGGAAAATTAATAGTCTTCTCAGAAAAAGGCAAGGTCTCTGAAAAGAATATACCAAAGAATGGGAAAGAAGACAAAGAGAATATATCAGAAAATGATATGGAATATTCAATAGACACACAAATTGAGAAGAAACCAGAAAATGACAATGTGAAGATCCCACAAGAAGGCATAAAAGAAACTAAAAGGAAACGTGGTAGACCACCTATAACTCCCCCAACAGGTGAGTACATAAATATAAATGCTTAGGTAGTACTGTAGGCAAGGTTCTTTGGATAAATGTGATATCTTTTATTAGACCAACTAAATAGTTGGAAAAAATGTTCTTCAGGGATAGGGAGAGTCTGCTGGTGTTTTGTGTACTCTTCTGGATGGAACAGAAGCGTAAGTCAATATGCAAATGCATGGCAGAGAAGATCAGAGGAGATGAGAGACAATAGGTGCAAGACAGGTAAGTGGCGGGGGGGGAAAGGAGGGAATGTTGACCTAGTTATTGAATTTGGCTGCTAAACTGTAGTGAGGTTATCGGATGGCAAACAGGTTATAATATGCCATAAAACTAATGTCTATATTTAGTCCATGATTTTTTGTATCTGGTAGACTTATGAAGTGAAGTTCATAGGCTCATCTTCAAAAGGTGTTTTGTAACTTCCCTTTGAGGATTAGAACTGAAAGATTGGACAGAGAGTTGTCTTGTGAGAAGTGTGCAGCCAAAGGTAATTGGGTATTATTCTTTGATAGATTTTTGGTGTGCGTTCATTCTGGTGCGCAGTTGTTGTTTAATGTCTCCTTTGTATTTTCCATCAGGGCATTCAGTGCACTGAATGAGATATTACACTTCTTGAGGTGCAGGTGTAAGATCCAGAAATGGTGATAGTTCTGTTGCAGGGTCTAGTTATTGTGGGAGTGGTGCAGATGTGTTGGCAGGTTTTACATTTCTTGTCTCGGTATGGTCTGGATACATTCAGTGTGCTTTGGGCCATAGGAAGTTTATTTCTGGTGATGCGGTTGGCTAGGTTCGGTGTTTGTTTAAAGGCTAGGATGGGTGGTTCTGGAAAGATCTGTTTAGGAATTGGGTCGTCTTCTAGGATTAGTTTCAATTGTTTGAGGATTTTCCACATATGTTCCAGGGGAGGATAGTATGCCATTACTAATGTGTGTGATTTGTGGGAACTTTTTTTTTAGGTAGTACTGTAAAACATTTTTATAGTTAGAAATATGGAACAACACAACATTCCATTTTTTCTTATTTGGAGTCTAGTGATCACAATTCTGTATGAATATGGAAATCAGTGTTTCTGTTGTGGCAATAATACTGCTTATCATGTGAGCACAAGCACTACTAACCCGTAGAGTCAAGACACCAACAGCATATTTGGAATAGAGATCTAAAATTTAGGAATAAACATAGATAAGACAAACTTTAACAAGATATGTTGTAATATAATAGGAATACATAATAAAAAAGAGGTATAGTAAAATACATTTTATTTGTCACCTCATTGGGATCAATAATGATGACAGATAATCAGTGCCTAGAAATTTTTACCTTTTTTGAGATATTTTGATAAGCAGCGATAATGGGTTCCTTAATTTAAAAAATTGCAAATTCACTGATTAAAAAACCCCAACATTAATGATTTAAAATGAAATACTACAATATATATAGGTATCAGTTGAACACAATGTTTTATTGATATATTTAAAATTTTAAAGCAGTTTGGAAGCTTACAGTCGCTACAGTAAAATTAGAGGTGCACTGTTATATATCGGGCCATATTGTATCAGCACTGTTAAAAGGAAAACTAACATTATCAGCAGTCGGCTTTTTTTGGCCACCGTGGCCGATAATATCGTCAATAAATGCAGCATGCACGTGCGTGGCCGCAGCATGCTGCCAGGAATGTAGCCCGGCAGCTTGGAGAGCAGCCTCCTGCCAGTAAGTCTGTGGGGAGGGGAAGAAGAGGTGTGTGGGAGGGAAGAGGCATGGGGTTGAAATATTGAGGCCCCCACAGTGAGGGAGGGAATGGGGCTGGGGCAGCGGTAGGTGCTCTGCCCAGCTGGGGCGGACTGGGAGGCAGGGTGCGGGATGGAGCTGCGGGCGGCTCATTCATAGAAGTAGGGTCGGAAGGGACCTTGTAGATCATCAAGTCCGACCCCCTGCCCTGAGCAGGAGAGAAAACCAGGCTCAGATGACCCCAGCCAGGTAGACATCAAGCCTCCTCTTAAAGACGCCCAGGGTAGGAGCCATCACCATTTCCCTTGGAAGTTGGTTCCAGATCCTAGCCGCCCTGACTATGAAGTAGTGCCTTTGGATGTGTAGTCTAAACCTACTCTCTAACAATTTGTGGCTGTTATTCCTTGTTACCCCAGGGGGCGCTAAGGGCAACAGGGTCTCTCCCAAACCCTGCTGGTCCCCCCTGATGAGTTCATAGATGGCCACCAGGTCCCCCCTCAGCCTTCTCTTGTGAAGGCTGAACAGGTTACGGTCCCATAGCCTCTCTTCGTAGGGCCTGCCCTGCTGTCCACGGATCATGCGGGTGGCCCTCCTCGGGACCCTCTCAATGCTGTCCATATCCCTCCTGAAGTGCGGCGCCCAGAACTGAACACAGTACTCCAGCTGTGGCCTGACCAGTGTTGCATAGAGGGGGAGGATCACCTCTTTGGCCCTGCTTGAGATGCATTTGTGGATGCACGACAAGGTACTGTTGGCCCTACTGACCGTGACCTCGCATTTTCGGCCCATGTTCATCTTGGAGTCAGTAATGACTCCAAGATCTCTTTCTGCCACCGTGCTCTCAAGAGGGGAGTTTCCCAGCTTATGTGTGTGCTGCTGGTTCTCACTGCCCAAGTGCAGCACCCTGCACTTGTCAGTATTGAAACCCATCCTATTTTTGTTAGCCCACCCCTGTAACCTGTACAGGTCCTGGTGTAATCTGTCCTTCCCTACTAGCGTGCCCACCTCACCCCAAATTTTGGTATCGTCAGCAAATTTGAAGTCTGTTTTTACCCCGTTGTCCAAGTCACTAATAAAGAAATTGAACAGTGCGGGCCCAAGGACTGAGTCCTGGGGGACTCCACTGCCCACTTCCCTCCAGGTCGAAAAAGACCCGTCCACCACCACTCTCTGAGTACGACCCTTCAGCCAATTAGCAGTCCATCTGACTTTGTAGACATCAATGTCACCTAATTTTTTGATGAGAATGAGGTGGGAGACAATGTCAAAGGCCTTGCTGAAGTCCAGAAAGACTATATCCACGGCGATACCTGTGTCCAATGCTTTTGTGACCTGATCATAGAAGGTAATTAGGTTGGTCTGACAGGACCTGCCCCTAATGAAACCATGCTGGTTGCCCTTGAGCATCATCTCTGCTGCTGGCCAGTCACAGATGTGCTCCTTGATGATCTTCTCAAAGAATTTCCCCAGGATCGAAGTAAGACTAACGGGCCTATAGTCGCCTGGGGTCCTCCCTCTTCCCTTTTTTGAAGAAGGGGACCACGTTGGCTTTCTTCCAGTCATCTGGCACCTGGCCGCCAGAGCACCACGAATGCTCATAAAGCCATGCCAGGGGCCCCGCAATAACCCCTGCCAATTCCCTCATCTGAACACGTCCAGCCCCTACAGAAGCTCTCTAACCTGGTCCTCCCCACCTTAGGTGGGGAAGCTCCTGCCACCGCGCACAGTGCTGGGGGAGGCATGGGGGGCATGTGCCCCCCAGATTTGTGCGCATGGTGAGGGCAGGCTGTGGGCTTGGGCCAAGTCCCCCCCAGCCTCTTCCGGCGGAGGCAGCCGCGGGAATGGGTTGTGCTCGGTGGGGAGGGAGGGAGGGGGCTATGGCAAATTTTGGGGTAGCTGCAGCCCCCCTGTAGCCCACTCTCCCAGGGCCACCTGCTCCAAGCACAGCTCCGGGCCAGCCCCCCTGCTGGGAAGAGGCCACAGCAGGCAGCCTGCCCTTGTCCCACGCACAAATCTGGGGAAGTACATGCCCCCCCATGCCTCTCCCTGGGGGTGTGCGCAGTGACAGGAGGTGCTGCCTGCCACCTGGATGAGCTACCTGTGGCTCTGTCCTGTGCCCTGCTCTGCACTGCCCCTGTCCCTGTCCCAGTCCCGCTCCCACTCCCTTCTTCACTGTGGGGGCCTTGACTTGCCTCTCCCATGCACTTTCCCTCCCCCATGCCCCACCCCCGGACTTACTGGCCGGAAACTGCTCTCTGAGCTACTGGGCTGCATCTTGGCAATCAGATCAGTATCAGCTGATATGGCTGGTTAATAATAGGCGATTGATATTGGCCAAAGAAACTTTAGTGGTGCACCCCTAAATAGAATATATTTTAAGTACCTGTACATTTTTGTTTTTGATTTTGGGTTTTTTATTATGGAAAATCAGAGCTTCCTCTGCTCCCGTTGCTTAACAGGACATAGGTTGAGGCCCTTCACTCTCCACCAACAGCCCCCCCACCCCTGCCAGAGGGGGCTCCCAGCTGCCAGGGCTGTGGGGCCAGGGACTGAGGTCCACAGCCCCTCTACCCCCAGCAGTAGTGCCCAAGCTCCAGCTGCCACTTGTAGGATGGGCCGGCTGTTGTGGTGGAGTGGAGCACGGAGCACATCTTCTAGGGGTGCATCAGTAGAGATTTTTGGGGTCGATACCAGTAGCTGGTTTTTAAGGAGGCATATCGGCCAATACCGATCCAATTTCCAATACCAGCCCGGCAGCTTGGAGAGCTACGTGCAGCTGGTAAGTCTAGTGTGATGGAAGGGGCGTGGTGGGGGGCAGATCAAGGACTCCGTAGTGAGGGAGGAGTGGGACTGGGGCAAATGCCACCCAGCCGGGGCAGGAAGGGCTCAGGATGGAGCCATGGCTCCTCTGGAGCAGAGGATAGAGGGTGGCTTCCTCCGCTACGTGCTGGTTGTCTGGGAGCCACAGGTCTGGTAGCTCGTCTGGCGGGGAATGGCAGGGGTGTGCCCCTGGATCTGCACAGGGTGCGGCAGTCTGGGGCCGGGAAGAGCCCTGGCCCTAGCCCAGCCTGCCCTGCCCCGCACGGGTCTGGGGGCACACGCCGCCCGCCCCCCGGTGCCCACAGACGAGCAGCGGGAGCAGCAGTGGGAGCCGCCAGATGAGCTGCCGGACCAACGGCTCCTGGACGAGCAGCGTGCAGTGGGGTGGGGAGCTAAAGTCTATACTGGGCAGCCCACATCCATCTCACGCACAGATCTGGGGAACA